TATCCGGTGAATTCAATGAGGCTAGTCTATTTAGCTATGTTCTTGAATCCCCGTGATTGTCTTTCCATTTTCGCCCTTGACCGGTCTATCTCGTTTACTAAATTTCCCTGTCAGTTTCTTCGTGGCGTCATATAGTCGTTTCATGTTCCCTTCTATTGCAGCTTTTTCCGCCATCATTGCTATTTCCGCTCGTCAGCTTTAACGCTGCTCTTCACTTGCTTCCTTGCTTTTGTGCATTCAGTTTGTAGGTTGACTTTACCTGTTCTTGTTGGGTTGTTGTTAGTTTCCGTCTTCTTGTTCTTCCTTTCTTGAATATCGTCCAGGGTTTCCATAGAGATCCACTCCTTATTGCTTCTTGCGACTCAGAACCTTCTAAAACGTTGAAGTAAATGCTACTTTTATCCCTTTCCAGTTGTCCTAAACCGTAGTTTCTTCATCTTTCTGTAGATCCTGTAAGGCTTGGAACCTATTATTCAGAGTTATCTTGAATTCGTTGAGTTTATCAGTGTCTGAAAGAAAAGTTGTATTGAATCTTGGTAATGCTGTTCGTCCGGTTGTTCAGTGTTTCTTTAAATTCTGTTTAATCTTCGCCACAACCACCTAATGGTGATCTGAAGTTATGTCAGCTCCTCTTCTGGCTCTCACATCCACTATTTTACTTCGGAATATTTTGTTGATACACATTTGAACTATCTAGTTCTCTGTGATGTAGTCCGGTGACACCTTTGTAGCTTTGTGTATGCGTTTATGTAGAAATATTGTGCCGCCTATTACCAATTTTTGAATGTACATAGATTAGCAAATCTCCCCTCATTTTCATTTCTCCATCCCAGTCCATGTCGCTCCATTATAACTTCATATCCTGTGTTGAACGCAGCCTCTCATAGAACTGATTTTTATCATCGTCATTATTATCTTTGGTGAGTGTATAACATTGGATAACGTTCATTGTGATCCTCTCCTTCTTTGTTCTGAGTGATGAATTGATAATTCTGGGTCCGTGAGATTCCCATTTTAAAAATTGTTGCTCTGGTAGTTTGAAGGTGCATCGGCCTCTGCTTTGATCCTGAGGCGTCATAATTCTTCCTTCAACTCCCAGGGCAGAGTTTAAATGGTTTGAATTATTTTTTCTGGTTATCGTTTTTTATTGGGTTAGTGTTCTACAGGATGGGGTCTTTAACTTCCTGCCTGACTGTCCTCCTTTACACGGTCTTGTGGCTCTATAAAAGCTATAGGCGGAGTTATATATATATAGTGTATTTTGGTATTGTACTACTGGTGACCACCGTTTATACTTTTGTCGTGTGATTGCAAAATACCCGAATATTGTATAAGTGTAAATCTCCTTTATTGCAATTTTCTTGCAGTGTAAATATTTGTTGTATGTTAAAACTTATCGGGCTATTGCAAACTAATTACGGACGTGTTACTCGGTTAAACGATCGTCTTCTAAAGCTTAGTATTTGTTGTTCGTATATTGGCGGCTACAATCACATGACCAGGAATGCCTGGGATGACAAGAGTGGCACATATTGGTCAACGGTTCAAAAGTGGAATTCTGTTTGATGATTGTATAATGGACTCCACATGTTCTAGGGTATGTTTATTTTTTGGGCTGAAAGTAAATAATTTATACCAATATTTGTCAAGGTTAGTGAAGAATCCATTCGAAGGTTTCGTGTGTGAAAATCCCTCCATACATATATCCATAGCTTCTTCTCAATGTTTTTGTCGTTTATACATTGTTGTTAGTATTTTTTGATACCTTTATGTATTGCGTTGTTTCATTTCATGATAGTTCTCACTGTTTCTTTTGTTGCCATCATTGGGTTTCTGTATTCTTCTTAAACTGTATACAATTTGTTTTAATTCATATTATTTTGGCGGCTGCAATATTGACTGTTCGATTTTTGATTGTGCGGTTTGATTTTGACTGTGATCGTGCATCTTTGGTTGTCATTTGGAGCACTTTCCCAGATATTGAAACACTTTGTGTTTTAAAACAGCTGCTCAGACGGAATTTTACTTGATCTATCCAGAAGGGATAGAATAACACTTATCTTTTGGTGTTTACGGAAATTTTCATATATTTCTTGCCACTTTGCTATTCATTGTAATTTAGATTGAATATTTTGATATCAATTGTCGGTTGAATAACTGGGTGGTAATATTTGTTTGGGTAAATTTGTATATTTGTATATATGATGAATTTTAGAACCGTTACTACATCAAACACTTTGTTTGGATTTCAATTGAAACGAGTTTCTAAACTTTTACTGTGGTTATTCAACCACATCCAGACCTATTGGAATTTAGGTTTGGATATTACAGTTAGAACGAATAGTTTGACAAAAATTGGGCGCCGAGTATAGGGAAATCATTATATGTGAACTGGACTTTTTTGATGTTTTTGATTTTGATTATTTCCGTGAAGAAGTCTCCTATACAGAGCATCCGTCGATAGTGAACGAATATGGGGTATATTGTTACTCTGAGTTAATAGAAAGCATACTTCGTTACTGTTAACGCAGAATTTGATAAATTATGCCTTCATTCGAATTCTGTTTCTTTGAAAAATGAATGTGAAAGTTACCGTCATTATTTGTCGCCCTTCTTCAATCAAGGACACCTTGACAATCCGTCAGTCCCGAAAGCAGGACATTTTGAACACACGTACCAGTTGTCTCACAGATTTAACAGTTACGGTCCGACTGAAGTTATTTGCATTAGATATTTGCATTGTGAATCAAGTGGTTGCGCCAATGAACGTTTCCAGGATGTAACCATACAATAACAGTGGTCAACCACTCCACTACAAAATGTATAACCAAGTCAAGGAAAACCTAACTATCAACGGTCCGTTATCATGGCACAACAAAATGAGAGGCTGCAGGCGATCGTCAAGCAGTGTCCAGAAAGCGACCTGACCATCCTCTTTGGAAACTTGGAGTCCAAAGTCGGGATGGATAACAACTGGTAGGAAGATATCATGGGACGACATGGAATGAGAGAGACGAACAAGAGTGATGAAAGATTTGAAGATTTATGTGTAATCGACAAAATGGTTATAAGCTGCACCATATTCTCGTATAAAACCATACGGAAAGCTGCATGAGTTTCACCGGATCACACTACAGAGTAACAGATCGATTGTATACACACCAATAAAAAAACTAAGATCCATGGAAGAAGTGAAAACTAGGAGAGGAGCTGACATAGCTTCAGATAACCACCGGGTTGTGACTAAAGCGCGCTATTCGAACGGGAAGTTTAGTCCTAATGTGATTTACATTTCTCAAACTTTTGCTGTGTTCTTACGCAACAAAAGTATCATTTCCAATCCAAAGAATCTATTCTGAGCTATACGTTCGGTAGATTACTTCTTTTTTTTGTGTTTCACTCAAATTATTAGTTAACTGTGGTTTTGCCTCAGCCCACTATCGGGTTTTTTTTATAGTTTTCACGTAAAGGCTAGCTTTAGCTTATCGTTAACTGTTTTTATACATTTTTGACAGTTTTTGTTTACTGTGTTTTTTTTAACGGTCTTAAATTTACTGCTTGTAATTTTAAGACAGTCTAAATCACTAGCCATGAAAAATTCATGCAAGAGACCTGGTTGCCGTTTTGCCGTTACATCTGGCATGCAATGTGACAACTGTAAAGGTTGGTTCCATGAGGCATGTACAGATCTAACAGCAGCAGCCTATAGCAGACTCAGCAAGTCTGATCGTAGGTGGGTATGTGTTACCTGCAACACCGATACGTTAGTTATGTTGGGTACTATCGGACCGGTTTTTTGACAAGGCTGCTTACCCTTTCCCTTTCTATGTTTTCTGGTGTTCAATTGGATTGTAAAATCCTCCACATCTAACGGGAAACACGCACTTGACAGAGAAGCTTTGGATAAGGTGGGAACTTTTACTTACCTGATCAGCGTCATCGATGAACATGGAGGATCTAATCGAGATATAAGGGCATGAATTGGCAAAATAAGGCCAGCATTCCTACGGTTGAATAAAATATAGAATTTGAAACAACTGTCAGAGGACATCAAAGCCAGAATCTTCAATACGAACATCAAGACAGTTCTAATGCATAGAGACGAATCTTGGAGAACTACTACAACTATTGTCGAAAAATGCAAGTATTTGTGAGACCATTATCTACTCAGTGTACGCAATCTCTGTTGACCGGATACTATCAGCAACAGCATACTATGAGAGAGGACAAAGCAGCTTCCAAATGAAGAGAAAATTCTGAAAAGACGATGGAGGTGGATATGATATACATTGCAGAAATCATTAAACTGCATCACGAGGTAAGCACTAACCTGAAACCCTGAAGGAAATGGGAAAAGAGGAAGGTCAAAGAACACATTGCACTTGGAATTGGAAGCAGACATCGAAAAAATGAGTAGCACTTTAAAACGACTGAGGAGAGCTTAGGACAAAGTTGGTTGAACAATCTACGTCAGCGGCCTAGGATTTGTGTGGCGCAAATATATTTGGTGCCTCCTCGTACCAATGTTTTCATGTTTGTACAAAGAAACAAATAAATAAACGGCGTGGATTGTCATTTCGTAGTATTCGGTTACTGTGTCTACCTTGATGATAGAATATAATGAAAATAAGATTATTACGGATGTGTATTGATAACTGTAGGTTGGAAAAGCAGCGCTGAAACTAACACTTTCGCATATCCTTGACTTGTAACTGACTGATGTGTTACGATTGTCCTTGGCCATGACAGTGATCGACAAACTGTGCAACATTCAGTGACCTGACTACCATGTGATTTGTCTAGGTCCGAATGACTGTTCGCCAGCTATACAGTAATAATATATTATGTTGTCTATAATGAGTATTTATTCTGGCCGGTCAACTGACAAATCAGTCGTTTGGTTAGCACCATAGCATAATCAAGTGTAAGTAAGGTTGTTGGAAAAACGAAAATTGTTTACAATTGCATTTATTGTCCAATGATTTTTTAAAAAAAAGAGTTTTTAATATCGCGCCCTATTTGCGCTGAAGGACGTTGCCTGACCTTAAAACAATCGCTTTATCCATAAACATGGACAGATTGTGCATCTGTTGACAAAAAGTCTACTTGACTTCGATTATCACATAAGCTGCTGAAAAAAGAGAACAAGATTGTTAGTAAGTGGATATTCTTAATGTGGACGAGAACCGAAGGTCTCAACGATGGACTGTAAAATCCAAGTCTATATGTTTGTCAAAGAAACTAGCTCAAACTAAGAGATTTTTTACTAGTGTAACTAACCAAGTATACTTAAAATTCGTTCAATAAATTATTTGTCTTCCTGATATACATAGGTGCGTTAGTCTTAATTATTGACTCTACTCTTTATTCGATTCTTTGTCCGACTGATAATTCACCTCTGTATTCCCTCGCATTAGCATTTCTACCCGAGTTCGCTTGGTGTGCTTGTAGCTTTGTGATCAATAATAAACCATAGTCGGTGCATCATGTCGCCTTCTGGGATTCAAAGACCGTTGGAATTTATGTACGAAGCTTAAAAAAATTATATGGAAGATGATCCATCACAAGTTAGCCTGATGTACGTCATTTTTGAAACCTTGTGGTCTACAGTTATATCCAACATTTCCTGATTGCGGTTGACGGCTTCCTATTCACGTTTATTTGCTTGGGGTTATTGCGAATTTATCAACTAAAATAACAGCAATCAGTAGTTCGTTAGTGATGTATATGATTGTCTCTATCACACTAATGTTAAAGACTAGGTTCATTTTTCTAGATGTTTATCCTGTAGGCTGTTCAATGCACCTAAATAACACTGATGTTGTGCAAAGACAATGGGTTTTATGGTTGTTATGGTGAGCAAGGTCCAGAGTTTTAAATCAAAATTAATTTGTTGACTTTTAACTGCAATGCTATAATTAGATCTGAGTTGATACTAGCTTCAGGATTCCATAGAATTTCTTGCTCCACTGCCTCCGAGTAGTTGGTGATTTCATGGACTGCAGTTCTAACCTATGATACGTACATTCTTGATTTGGCTACCTTCACACATTAATGTTAACAATCTGGTTGCTTATAAGATTATTTTATCAGATCCATCTGGATGGATATGAGAGATAACTCCATCAAGCAGTAGGTTTATCGATAATGTCCTCTAAACTGTATACTTTCTAACGCTTTATAATTACAATATTTGTCTCTTACAGATAAAATACTGTGAGCTTGAGAAGTTTAGCGAAATGTAGGCTTTTGTATAGATTCAGATACATACTAGAGGTAGGTAACACTAAATCTTGACTCCTTTTCATTTTTAATTAAGTGCGACCAGATCACCATATCTTTTGTGTGAACATTTGATATTTACACGCAAACTTCTTGTCTAGTCGCTATCTTTCGTTCTACGAATCTTGATAGTTTTTATTCTGTTGACTCCGCTTTAAGTTTTTAAGAGACAGAAAAGCCTAAACCATTGAGTTTTTGCACAGATCTCTGTTTTGCTCCTCCTCTCCGTTTATTTCATATACACTTTGTTTTTAATTCATTATTTTAATCTTAAGACAATGTTCACGTTTTCGTTTCTCACTAAGCTTCATGTATGTTTAGTCTTGATCAAAATTTTTACTATTTGTCTCTTTTAATGTAGATTGAGAAAGTCTGTTCCAATGTCAGACACTCCTGGTGTTATTCCTAACATGCCTATGGTTTCACATCAGTCATCTACTAGTGCAAAGTCTAATACAACTAAACGAAAAGAGATATATAGATATAATGCTCCTTGGTGTATTTTCAGCATGAACTGGTCTGTCAGACCAGATAAACGCTTTCGTTTAGCTGTGGGCAGTTTCATTGAAGAGTACAATAATAAAGTTCAAATTATATATCTAGATGATGAACAAGGAGAGTTCGTTGTACAAAGTACGTTTGCACATCACTATCCAACTTCAAAAATCATGTGGATTCCTGACACAAAGTGTATTTTCCCTGATTTACTTGCAACAAGTGGTGATTACCTTCGTGTTTGGAGAATAAATGAAGATTCTGAAGTTAAAAATGAATGCTTATTGAATAATAATAAAAATTCGGATTATTGTGCCCCACTTACTTCTTTTGATTGGAATGAAGTAGATCCAAATATTATCGGAACTTCTAGTATCGACACTACATGCACTATCTGGGCCCTTGAAGTAAGAACCATAAAAATACCATTTGAATTGCTTTACTAACTTTTCCTATGTACTTAATAAAGGCGCAAAGTATCTTGAGTGACAGTCTTATTAAACTCCAAGTGATTTCACTAGTTAATAATACGACACTTCTTACAATTGACTATCAGTTTTAGAGTTGCAGACAAAATACGTCAAAAACGTCAAATCACTTGTACTAGTTTGTATAGCAAAATTACACCCACCTTGATCCTATAGATTGATAAGTTATGTCCCTTAAATTAACAATATCTCTACTAAAAAACAAGTTGCTTTAGTTTTCGAAAATATATGGTGCTTAATGCGTCAGACACTGCACTTGCCCGAATTTCGGTTTGTGCACCAGAGTTTAAAACGGTGATATGCACCGAAGATCAAGTATTTAAATCAGTCGATTTGGTTGTATTTTGTTTCATTTTGATTGATGTAAAGTTCATAGATCATAAAGTGACAGAACACCATTGCTCATTGTCCTGAAGCTCATCAATCGTCTGATAATTTATCTCCAGTACAGAAAAATCTCCGCAAGCTAGGGGTTTGCTTTTGAAAATCGTTGTTTCAGTTTTGGACTTGATCTATGAAGTGTTCAAGAGCGTACTTCAGTCGGAATCAAGAACGTCAAAACGTTTTTCCAGTACCCTCTACTTTACACTATTTCTTATACAATGTAAACCGGCGTACTGGAAACCTTTAGGGCTAATCTTCTATAGAAGCTTGTTTTACTGTATTTAACCGGGCTGGTGGACACGGAAGGTTCACATAGGGGAGTTGGAATACCCTGATTCCAAACCAATGGTGAACATGGGCTCCAGTATCCTGAGGTAACAAATGGCGTGTGAACCAATTGTTGGTCACCGGCTACCATGCGACTGCATCTTCTCACGATGCTCCAGTCAGTCAGTTGCAACGTAGAACTTTGTACGCACGTACATCAGTTCGAGTTGCCATACCACATTAGCACAGAGATGAAGTTGTTGATTCAAATCCCATAATGGTAGAAGTAGTAAGAGTATAAGCAGTAATCGGAAAGATTAAGGTTTGAAGATGTTATTGAAGGAGTATAATACAATGAAATAAATTTGGAAAGAGAAAAATGAAAGGGACATGAAGAATTCAGATTAGAATTTGGTAGAACACAAAGAGTGGATGCACCTTCGCCATTGCAAACGACTTTGAGCCATGTCATTCAAGGTCTCTAACCATCGGTTGCTATCATCTCACGAATCCCAACCAGGTAGTCTACACCTACCAACACGGCCCAGTTCACTTGTCAGCGACTTCATGGATTTATGCCATGTTTTGGTCTGGCCGCTCCTAGCTTTCTTCCAACCTACTCCTACACCATAAAGCATTGCACGTCGACGCAGTCGGTGGTTGGGCATACGTAACACATGTCCCAGCCATCTCAACTGATCAAGTTTCAGTACTTCATCAATCGATTTGCCATCCTTACCTAGTACCCGTTTCCTAACATCTGCATTACTTACCCGGTGGTCCCAGGATATACGAGCAATGCGTCGAAGACACCTATGATCGAACACTAGTAGCCTACGAATATCCTCCACTCTTATCTGCCATGTTTCACTTCCATAAAGTAGGACAGAACGGACTGCTGCACAGTAAACCCGTCCTTTTGTTGCTAAACGGATATCTCGCCTACGCCATAAATGACGCAAGTTGGCGAAAGCTAGACGAGCTCTAACTCGACCAGTTGTGTTCGAGTAGAGAGCCTTTATGAGGTTAATGTACTTCTTTGGTACTCCTTTCAGTGACAAACACTGCCATAGAACCTCACGATCAACGGAGTCAAATGCCGCCTTAAGGTCAAGAAATACTACTATTGTGGGACGTCTGAATGTATGTCTATGTTCTAGGATTTGACGTAGAGTGAATATCTGGTCTATGCAACCACGTCCAGGTCGAAAACCAGCCTAGTTTTCTCTAGTCTGCTCTTCACGAGCTTTGGTTAGGCGTCCAAGTATTATTGAAGCTAATATTTTAGACACTATATTAGTCAAACTGATTCCTCTGTGATTGTCACAGGAGGACTTTTGTCCTTTCTTATAGACTGGCACAATCAGTGATTGGGACCAGTCAGATGGAATTACGTCCATTTCCCAGATTCTACCTAAGACCTCAGTCAATCTCACTTCTAGTACTGGACCACCATCCTTAAAAATCTCAGGGGTAAACTTGTCAGGGCCTGCGGCTCTCTCTCGCTTTAGATTTCCTATAGCTTTTTCAACCTCGTAGAGAGTTGGAGGACTTACCTCAATTTGCCATTCTAGAGTCCTAGCTAAGGAAGCCTGTTGTTCTATTTGGCATAATGTTCGGACATTAAAAGTTCCTACATGTAGCTTAGAGCGAGGTTTCAGGAGACCAGGAATAACGTTCCGTGTACACGAATCGTTTGCCCTAGCGGTGCGAGGTGATAAAAGGACGTGGGAAGGGTTAGTCGTGGAGATAAGAGAGTTGTTAGGTGTAGGAAGGATTTGAAAGTGACCAACTTGGTCTCGTGTGCTGTTACAGGTATGAGGATAATATCACTTCCTGGCTGACCACACCGTGGAAGGGTATTTCTTGAGGGACCTGAAAAAGAAGTCGGATTAGTGTTGGTCTTAACGACCTGGGAGCGTGACCGCAGTGCCCAAGGGACAACTGCTTGAGGTCGGTCACGCACGGCCTTCTTGTGGGGGATTTTTGAAGTGTTAGCTCCGTTCTTCAAAGGACCTTACTGCCGGAGACGGAAATCCGTGGGATAAGGCGAAGTGTGCATTTTTAGGGTCGACCTTTTCTAACCCCACCCCTCCTTGTGGGAAAGCAGCATCGCTGTCATGCTGGTTGTCTGAAGGAAACACATTACTGCCGTCACACCTCTGTACAGTCGGCAGTACGACTTCGCCTTCGGACCTTGGGTTTGCTGCTTTTATTCTTACCGCTCTTCAACCGACCTGTCTGGCATGGTAGGACCTCGAGGAACGATTGTTCCAGCCAGCATAGCTCGATTGCTTCATCACGATAGGCAAGCCCGACCACCACGTCAAGGTAGCGGCAACGGTCGGTCACGATGCTCCACTGCCTTGTGGATCAGATCTTTAGGTCAAAGGTTCCGGGTGTGGCCTCTTAAGAAAACTACCTGCTTCGGTCTGGGCACCCGGGCAGTATCATAGCCCTCAAACATTTACATGAAAGGACAGTTTTTTGTGTGGCCCATATAAATCTGGTGCCCCTTTATACCAATATTTCTGTGTTCAAATAATAATAAAATTATTTATATAATTATTTACCTCAACTGTTACTTCAAAAGACGGAGCAGGTGATCGGCCATGCAAATGTCGTAAGTGGTCGCGTAGAATCTCAGTTAATAGCCCATGACAAAGAAGTATACGACATAGCTTTCAGTCGTGCTGGAGGCGGAAGAGATGTTTTCGCTAGTGTTGGTAAGCGGTTTTATTTTTGACGTGAATATTTTCTCCTGTAATTTAATTTGACAGAGTGCTTGTCATTTCCCCATGAAAAGCCATATGAAGCTTTAAATTCCATCTACAGTGATTGAAATGCAATCAGTTTATAGGTTTCTCGCTTTACACTTCTATACAGTAGTCAGAAGACTATTATGGTACCATCTACTGAATACATAACATAATTAAGGGGCATATTTTGAAATAGAAATAAGCAGTCTAGAAATATTGGAAAGTGAAGGCACTCATTACATATATGTATGTATTGATGCTCATTTATCAAATAATTGGGTCATGTTATTATATATTTTAATTTAAGTATCCTGCTTTACTAATTGTCAGTTTTGTGTCGTTAATGTCCTATCTATGCACAGATGATGAATAATACGAGTGAATAATACGATGTACTCACCCCGTTTACGAATTATTTCAAATTGTAAACGATGGAACAGGTGATAATTTTGTGGGCTACCGGTTGTTATCTCATATAAACACGGTGTTAGCTAATTCTTTGTTAACGGTGATAATCAGCGGAATTCTAGTAGTATTAGATAAATAAAAGTACTAAATTAGATAACTATAGGTTAAGAATAACAAACAAGCAACGCTCATAAAAGTCTTAGGGTGAAGTAGCTGATTTAACAGACTGAAGTGAATATCTGTAGATCTGCGTATGATCACATGAATAATGTGACCGAGTGATGACTGCTCAAAAAACCTGAGCTATTGATGGAATACTCTCAATGAACGGATATCAGAGAAAAAGTCAACTCGTCAGCAAAATGTGAGCCATTCTGTGTAACAATGACGTACTCACAAACATGAAATGAGCTTGATTATACATCACTTAAAATCAACATATGACTAGTGCGTAAGTATCGCAGGCCATTCATCAGCTTGATTATGAAGTTCATTTATTCCACTATATGGGTTTTGGTTGCTTTTCTTCATCAAGTTAAAAAGCGTAACAATACGCATTTTCATATATTCCTATTTGGTGTCTTAAATTGTTAGCATTACTGTGTTTATTTCTTTGTTTTGGAATTGTGCAAATGTGAGATGTGAAAACGTAAAACCATGCACTCCTGAAACGGGTCAGCATTGTCCTTGTCAACTTCTTTTACAATCGTTTAAAGTAATGCATAACTGTGTTCTGTCAAGTTCAACAATGGCATTATAAGAGACTACTCAGATACATTCCATGTGGTTTTCGGTTTCCCCATGGAATTGTTACATATTTCGTAGTCCAAATATAACTGTTTATAATTTCATGGTATTTTGTCTCAGGTAAAGTAACTGGATTTTGACTGATCATATTTTTTAGGCGCAGATGGTTCTGTACGTATGTTTGATCTTCGGCATTTGGAGCATTCTAATATTGTATATGAGGATTCAAATCATTCCCCACTTTTACGCTTAGCTTGGAATAAGCAAGATGCAAATTATCTAGCGACATTTGCAATGGACTCCGTAGAAGTAAGTTGTTATTCACTTTTTTTTACCATATATTCGATTGATATTTTTATAGTTGGATAAAACACTTCAGTTCTTATAGGAACATCTGATGCTATGATAGTTACTAATTTTGTTGGTGTTTGTTAATTAGTCGAATTGTTTCGTAGACTATATAATCGCAGACCCGATTGTAATATGTATTACAAGATATGTTTTGATGATAAACGTGTCAGATGGTGTTTATATGAACATTATTTGTTTCATCAATCAATTGACGAAAAAACGCTTTCCGTACTAGAATTAAAAACGACTACATCTGCCAATAACAAGAAGTATTCCCACAAAATCGCCCAATTAAAGGTTTTCACGTTTATCATTGCTCAAGGGAAGGTTACCAAAACGTTATTTATGTACATCTTATCATCTATTCGAACAAGACGGCTGTTTCGTGGGTAGAAATTTAGAAAATAAATATGTGTTTAACGGAGGTAGATGCTAGATTACCTTGATACTCAAAAGTTGGAACCTTTTGTTTTTCATATAGCTTGAATGCCTTATTACTATTTATTTGTTCACTCTATTTTTTGTTCACATCTTCCTCATTAAGTCGAATAGATTACTGAAGTCCAAAAGTTGCCCAAAGGGAAAGGGATAACTAGTTGGACCGAAACACTTTCATAGGAAAAAGAATTATCCGCTGTTCTGCTTGTTAATTTATCTTAGGATTCTCCTTGTTAAACCTGCAGTAACCCCATAACTCTTATGTAAATGTATTTTCATTTTTGACAGTTCTTAATCAATCATATAGGATGTGACTAGTGAGCCATTTTTATCATCCTTGTAATCTTATATTTGCTATCAATAACACTGACCTTCAACACATGTACGTCATTTTTCCGTGTCCTGGTGAAGCGGCCGCTTAGTGCTTAAGGCGCCCGAGCCTTGCCTCACCTACTTCGGTTGTGAAAACCTGGGTAAATATGGAATTAATCCCGGCAATTTATACTTTGAGTCATAAAACAATAATGAACAAGTGGTTGGTCATTCTAACATACCTCAAATGGCTATGCATTTTAGAGACCTACTTTAGAGTATATTTTGACAGATGTTGATACATAATAAAACGAGATAGAGTAAAAAATCTATTTACGGTAATTGATTCGAAAACGATTGTTCGCGCAAATTCAATTCTTCACGTATTTATTTATGTTTTTACTGTATGTTTGCATAACTCTATACCACTACTTGTAGATAAAGTTAAGATTATTGTATCAAGTTCCACATTCTTATGTGACGTGAAATAATAATAATAATTTCGTTTAATATAGATTACATTTAGTTTTGATCTCTTTCAATTTATTTTAACGCTCACTTTTTACAAAAATACAATCGCAGAATAAAAATGAACTTACAGTTAGTTTTAAAGTAGTATAATATACAAATTTCAATTTATCCCACTCTTGTTTAGGTGCAGATTCATATACTAAACATTAAGTTACAATCTGTCTCAAATGTAGGAATACTACCCTCGATAAAGTTTTTGCATATATACCATAGAGACTTAAAGCAGAATTCAGTTATCGTAATACCATTTATATCTTTTGATAGATGAAACGTGTTATCGACATATAAAAAAGCATGCTTGTTTTGTAATCAATTGGTCACTCTCTTTAATTCAGTAGCTATTTTGATTTAACAATTACTGAAAAGATTTCAGCCTCTGTTTTGCATAATATGCGTACCTTTCTTTCAGTATACTAATGTTCTTTTTGGATTTATATTTTTTTACAACTGCAGATAATTATTTTAGATTTACGCGTACCATGCACTCCTGTAGCTCGTTTAAACAATCACAGAGCATTTGTAAACGGATTAGCATGGGCACCACATTCAAGTTGTCATTTATGTACTGCATCTGAAGATTGTCAAGCTCTTATCTGGGATATTCAATCAATGCCAAGAGCAATAGAAGATCCTATTCTAGCATATACAGCTGCCGGTGAAATTAATCAAATCCAATGGTCGTCAACACAACCAGACTGGATAGCTATTTGTTATAATAATTCGTTAGAAATTTTACGAGTATAATGTTTACTGTTTATTTCTTATTTTATCAACTGATTTAAAGGTATCCTATAATTATGATCAAATGTTGTTTCTTCCTTTATACTTACTAATTATCGTATGTTATTTTCATGCGTTTCATTATTATTCTTTTATAAATATTCTGGATAATTTAACTGAGTACTATTATCGAGATACATGTGTTGATTCTAGTAAAAGTAAGTCTTCACTACATATGAATAAATTTCAAATGTTTTGTATATTTACTTAAGAATATCTGTGTTTGTCTAATTAATGTATAAAATTTCTTATAAATCACCATTATAAAACAGAAAGTCCTTCAAAAGTGGTTGTATTCAGCAGGATCTGTGAGACAGAAACAAATCGACAAACTTTTTGATGTTACCGTTTTACATTTACTAGGTTTTGGGAAAATCACAGACAGTATATAATTGATGTAAGTTATCTGTATCAAGTGAGAAGTATGGACTCGAATTATGCTGTCTCCGGTAAATAGATACTAATTATCAGAAGGGGTTTTGTGGAGATTTAGTATTTTTCATAGTTGAAATCATGAGTCAGTTGAAGCTAGACCACCATGGAAAACAATAGGACGAAACGGCCGTCCAGTGTTTCCAGGTTTTTCATGGTGGTCTAGCCCCAATTGACTCATGCTTTCAACTATGAGAAATAGATACTACTCTGTTATCCGCAATATGGAAGGATATTTATCCACAAAATACAGTTGCAGCTCACTGTTTGGTTATATATTAGTATTCCTATAAATGCTGCAGTACTCTACAAGTAACACAGGTGTCCTAGTAAAACCTAAAAAAACTCATATACATCGTATTTACTAACTTCAATGAGTAGTAATGGAGCACCAAAGGTGGTTAAACTGAGCTGAATGAATAACTCAACTATCTACCACGATAACTAGTTTAAATTAGATCCACATTTTTTATTCGTGCTTTGTTTTATTCAAAACATAGAATGAAACGAGATTACTGTCACAGTGGTAAGATTAATATCAAATGTTTCCAGTCCCGAGAACTTCTAGCTATTCTATTTCAATTCTCAAATATGTTATGTATTCAGTAGATAGTACCATAATAGTCTTCTGACTACTGTATAGAGGTGTAAAGTGAAAAATTGTAAACTGATTGCATTTTAATCATTGTAACTGGTTGAAATAACATAAGGTAGGAATTTAAAGCTTTATAGGGAAATGATAAGGACTCATCATCAGTAGTTGGAGACGTTCGGTTCAGAATCAGTTACACCGGCACAGATGCATTTAGACTTTATCTTCCGTTACGTTTTGAGTTTTATTATTATTTCGTATCCTTCGAATAGTAACCTCCAGTGTTTACTCTTTCGTAGTATAATTGGTACTGATATATCTTTTAGACTTATCATTCGTCTTATTAATTTTACTTCCTCGAGCTGATCTATGGCTTCTTAGGCTAATGCACATTTGTGTCAGACTTTATATTGATAAACCTGACTGATTTGACTATCCATTAAGTTCCTAGGAAGCTCACTTTCAGTTAAATTAATTTTGCTAAAGATTTCAATAAAATTAATTTCCTAAATAATACCCAAAATACTGAGAAATGAACAGAAATAGCTTGATGATTAACTATGAAAGTTTATTTTAGGAAAATTTATACAACGAATAAATATTAAAAAAAAACCAAAACACCACATTTTATCCGATTTCATGGTTATATACATTCTATGTATTTTCACAGGTAATTGTGATTTACAAAAGGTGAATAATTATCCTTGTAATTTCATTATTAAAGACCTAACTCTTGGGAAGACTGATAAAAATTCATTTCTGACTTGATATGATTCCCAAAAATTTGTCAAATGACGTAAACAGGAATTAGATTTCATAAATACACGAATCTATAATATAAAGATGTTTTATATATAGATAGAAAATTTGTATGTGACAACTAAGATAGATGTATTTAAGTAATTATCCGCCAAAAGTATCTTATTATTGTTACAACTGAGAGAAACTTGTAATAATTAATACTGGAACGCACTCAGGTTTCTATGACTCATATAAGGACATCGACACCGAATGGAGATGAAAATCTATTTCACTCCCCTAAACACATCGAAAGTTCCCGTAACAGTGGATAATCAGGAATGATTACTCGAACCGGTAAATCTCGTGACCCAGGTAAGAACATAGAGATTTTAGATGAGTATTTATTTGAAATATATTTTGTAGAGTGAAACAGATCTTCATCTGCAATCAGTTTTGGTGTTCTTCTTTTGATTGTGGCAATTGCAGTGATTTCCGGTACCAAACATTACAAGTTGTTCCCAGTTGCAACAACTATCTGTAGTTGTCATATTCATTTCCTCCTTTTTAGTCTTCTGGGTTTATTTTCATGTCACTGATGTGAAAGTGTGGTATGGTGAATCAATAAGCAAACATTTGTCTTGGTTTATGATATGTTTAATTTCCAAGTCCACCTGATGTCAATGTAGTACCTTTGTGAGCTAAGTCAGTACTACTGGTTGTCTGAAGTTAGTTCTAATCAGCAGTGAAATGGTTTATACTGGAGTAAACATCAGAATATACTGTTATTAAATATGCTTTCTTTACAATAAAATATGGTTGTGAGGTAAATGACTTTCTAAAAACGTGTCTCTGAAATGATACTAAAGATATTCTGAGGTATGAAACGGTATTTGTAATCAAATTCCATTCAAAGTGGATCTATGAAAATATGCTGTCATCTAGTTACTTATTATTATATGAACTATGAGCCTTCCAAGTTCGATTTGCTATTGAAAAGTGGAGTTACTTATATATTTTGTAGACAAATCCCCTCTGATGTACATGAATGTTGTAGATAATCTTCGTTATTATTATTGAGCCATAAACACCAACCTTATAATAAAAAAGGAAATGAGTTCCATTTGTTGTAAGCTTAAGAAAATTCTAATGATTTTAAAGGACTTGAAATTTCTGTCCCAACTGGTGGAACAACTAAAGAATGCTAGAGTATGAACTATCTATAAAAAATTTAAATTGTACAGGTTTTCATAGTTTTTTGTGTATAAACCGATGCTGTCAGTAAAGTTGCCTTATTAGTATTAGGTAGCTGGAAGTGGCTGGGTCCAAACTTGTAACCTAATGGCTAGAAGGTGAACACCTTAACTACTGAGTCACCTCTATACAAGTACACCAGTAAAAGTTCTTTAATACAATACAAGTATAAAAAATAGTTTGACAAACTTGATAGGCTAATAAATTTACTAAAGATGCTTTGAGTGTATCATATTCCAATATTTAGAAAAGCAAATAGTGAAACGTTCAATATTTTTCTAAAACGAATGAAATCTTAATTTGTTTAGGTAATAATGTAAATAGTTGACAACTACTGTATGGAAATTGGAGTTAGAATTTTTAGTAGATAATATACACACCAGGCAGAAAGCGATGAAAAAACTATTAGCGCTTCGAGAATGGATCGATGAGAGAGGAGAGTTTCCGAAACTTGTAAGCAGTTTGAACTTAATTTTTCAATGTAGTGTATTAAAGTGAGAATTAAAACAATGAAATGGAACTCACTTTTTTACTGTTATGAATCGAAGCTTCAATAGCACTAAGTACAACTGTAATGGTATACAATGAATTCGCATCTAAATGAGAATCCAATAATATATCACGAAAGCAATTGATAACACCAAAGTCTGAATGGAAATGTATAAACATAAAGCGCTTGCGGTTATTTTAGAAAATATATGATAACTTTGAATACATAAAATAACTAAATACTCCAATGTCATACTGGTCTAACGTCCAATGAATATTAATATTCCATTTCAAAGTCCTCTGTACTTTACCAAAATATATAGATTGATAACTGACATTCATTTTAAGACAACCATTTTGAGAATTCGAAACAAATCAAAATGGATTTAATTTCATAAAACAAACCACAGAAAATGGTCGTGAATCATTTTAAATAACGGACAGATGAATGTCAGATATGCATTTACCATGGAAGAAGTGATATGGAGTAGTGGAGAAAACTATCAACGACAGATACACATTGAACTATTTGAAGCAATTCACTTGAGATCTCGTTAAGATATGATATTTAGCAAGTAGAAATCGTCTCAAGAGAGTGACAAGTAAAGATAATACACATAACCAATAGGTTAGAATTTAACTACAGTGTCTCCAAATAGTTCGAGATAATCTGTACTTAAATAGTCGTTCTCTCCACCATAACCGCTAACTTGGATGGATCGGTCGTCGTTGACTATCTTAACAACTTGATCGGGCTATATTGGCTGAAATAACTTTTCCTTTAGTTTCTACAGCAACAATGTCTTCTCACAATGAAAAGGAAGGGTTAGTAAAGGTCGGCCCTGAAAATGTGAAATTTCATTTGACCCCACAGACTTTCTTCATAGTGTGCAACAAACACATCCAGAACTTCTCACTAAGGCCGTCTACAAGCAGTTACTTCATGGCTTCTGCACTCACGCCCCCAGCTCTCTACGAACATTACCAGTACAGTCCCCTTTTCAAGTTTTTTAGGAGAAATTATCCACAATTTAGGCAACTGGAAAGTAACTACGGCCCTCACGTCTTGACCAACGCTCAAAATCACCCACTATTGTCGCTTGCTTGAAACACCTGTGTTTTGGATGAAATAGTTTTCTTAGAAGTACGACATATAAAAAAAACAGCAAGTTGAACAACACGAAAAAGACTAACTTGTAGTTAATAATTTTGATTTCAATATACTGTGTGTGCATAAATTTCGTAAGATTACTAAAGCTGTTACACGATTATCAGGTTTACAATGATTTATACAATTGATCAAAATTGTGGGTAAATCTGAAAAAAAACGTAAATGTTTTAAACAAAAAATAAGTGCGAGGCATTACTGTTATCATTCATATAAAACTTACCTGTTTAATTACAATTATTATGCCCAATTTTACTCCATAACGTTGATTTTACCGATCAAATCAGTCATTTTACAGTCATGATGGAAGTGACTTACACTAAGTCAGGAAACGTCAGAAATTAAAATTTCTACTCATGAAGACGTCACAAATATATCATCTTATTACCAACTTTATATCCAATGCTCCATTTGTTTAAAATTATCAAGTCAAACTTTGCTTGGTATTAGTACCTACAATCATATCACGTTCGACAGACAAATTAATTAGTGATACCTGTTTGACTAATGAAATCTTATCATAGTTTATGCATTCCCTTAATCAGATCTCTCGTATTTCGGATTTTAATCATAACCACGTCAAGAGGCAATGTGAACACAAGCTTCTGGATGGTCAGTAAAATATTAAATAACAAAATGATTCAATATTTATAAATTAGTCTTAATTTCATTATTATAACAACAAAGAGCAGGAAATGTAAGCTGCTACTTATTGTCCAACAATAACTGCAAAAACCTATCTAATTGTAATGAATAAGTATTGGTTCAAATGAGTTATGGTTATTGATCGGGTCTGAAATGTCATATGTAAA